TTTAATATATAGTAAAACATTCCATTTGGAAAATTTAAAATCTGATTTTTTACTACAAAAAACAAAGAAGACTTTGGATACGAAAGAAGTAAAAGAAAAAATTTTAAATCTTGAAAAAATTTTCGAAAAGGAAATTTGTTCAGAATTACCAACAGCCTTTTGGAATCGCAAACAACACATTGTTGATTTGCCATACGAGGGAAATTTCAATGAAAAAGAAATTCTGACTAAGGCTCGTCCTATACAAATGAACTCTGAATTAGAAAGACATTGTAGGAAAGAAATTTCTGACCTTTTAAACAAAGGCTTAATTTCAAAATCAAGATCTCCTTGGTCATGTGCTGCTTTTTATGTGAATAAAAATTCTGAAATTGAGAGAGGCACTCCTAGTTTAGTAATTAATTACAAACCTTTAAATACCGCATTAAAATGGATTAGATATCCAATACTATATAAAAAAGATTTACTTCAAAAGCTTTATTCTGCCCACATATTTCCAAAGTTTGATCTTAAATCAGGATTTTGGCAAATTCAAATCTCTGAAACCGATCGTTATAAAACAGCATTTACAGTTCCTTTTGGTCAATACCAGTGGAATGTAATGCCATTAGTTTAAAAAATGCACCTTCAGAATTTCAAAGAATTATGAATGACATATTTTCTGAATATTCAAAATTTTGTATTGTTTACATTGGTGATATTTTAATATTTTTAAATTTTCTTGATGAGCATTTTAAACATTTGAAGACATTTTATTATGTTGCAAGAAAAAATGGTCTTGTTGTTTCAAAAACAAAAATGTCTTTATTCCAAACTAATATCAGATTTCTAGGGCATTACATATTGCAAGGTATGATAACTCCGATAGAAAGATCTTTAGAATTTGCAAACATTTTTTTTTTTTTTGTCAACAGCCTAAGCACCTAGAACGGTTCGACAACCCAAACCGGAGGTACTGAGTTTACGTACATAACATCGATAGGGTAGACACGAGCACTTTTTGCTAAAATGTCTGCCTTTGTATTTCTTGCGCGTGGGATATGTGAAAGTGTGAACCAGTTGAAGCTCTCTTTAATCTTCACAAACTCCTCTGTGATAGCAAATGCTGGCCAATCGTTGGGTGTAGACACCATCTTCACTAAATCCAAACTGTCCGTTGCAAAAGCTACCTCTGTCTTATGGTTTCCTATCATGCATAGCATAGCCCAAATGAGGGCTTCCATCTCCGCATGAAGAGGTGAAAGACTTCGTCGAACATTCCTTGCTCCCATTATGTTGTCTCTATTTCCATCCTGAAAATAGTACCATCCTAAACTGGAAAATGAATCCGTATCTTTCCAAGAGGCATCTATATAACACAACCATCTCCCCTATGTAATGGGTCTCGGTTATGGGGAAGGTTATTGTATTGTGGGGCTAGATCGTCCTCTGACCTTTGCGCCTCTTCCCATAAATTCGCTTCAGATACCGCAATTTTTAATGTGATCTGTGGGTCCACATCTAAATTGGAATATACTTTCTCATTTCTCGCTTTCCATATGTACCACGCAATCCAAGGGAAATGAGTGTCACATATATCTTTTGGTAGTCTCCAAAAAAGATAATCAAAATTAGTGAAGACTGATTCCCTCGGAAAAACGCCCAGGGTCGTTGGTATTTGAGATAGAGCCCATGTTTGTAAAGCAGGGGGACACTCAAAAAGAGCATGATTAATGGTTTCCCTCTCTGCCCCGCATCGATTACATTGCGTGTCACATTGTATTCCTCGTGAACGTAACTGAGCTGCTACTGGGAGGCACCCAGATATTACTTGCCAAATAAAATGTCTTAACTTAGGGGTACATTTTACTTTCCATGTATGTGCTTGTAGTGCTCTAATATCTTGACCATAAACAACCTCTGTAGGATTATCTGGGAACTGTTGCATCGTTTGATATCCTGATTTAACCGTATATCTTCCTGATTTTGTGAACTGCCATCCAAGTGAGTCTGGACTATAGATCATACTAATGGGAATGGCACGAATAATTTCCACATCACCTGGGTCAATGATAGCATTTATCAAGCCCATATTCCACGTATTTGTTAATGGATCAATCAGATGATTAACCATAAGATTCGGGTTATAATTATACCCCTTACAAGTGGCTGATCTTGGGCAAGAGGATGGTATCCAAGGGTCATTCCATACCAAGATAGAACAACCCGATCCAACTCTTTTGATGAGCCCTTTATTAACCAGAGATCTAGCTGAAATAATGCTACGCCATCCGTAAGAAGACGAGTAAGACCGCAAAGAGGGCTCTAAGGGAGATGTATTTCTGTAATATCGCCCCTTAAAAACCCGCGCAAACAGTGATGTCGGTCTATCTAATAATCGCCATAGTTGTTTTGCCAGAAGTGCCGTATTAAAATCCTCCATCGTTCGAAAACCCATCCCTTCGTTTGTTTTGCTTCGACACATTTTTGGCCATGCAAACCAATGCATTCCTCTATGAGAACCATCCAAACTCCACCAATATCTTGCTGCTGTACTAGTCAACTTTGCCATTGTAGACTTAGGCAGTCTGAAACACGACATAACAAAGGTAGGCATCGCAGATGCTACCGATTTAAGTAAAACTTCTTTACCCCCTTTTGAGAGTAGCCGCGAGGTCCAACTGTTAATTCGACCATGTTGTTTATCTGCTACAAAGTTGAAAATTTTACTTTTAGCTCCACCCAAACTTTCCGGTATGCCCAAGTATGATCCTGTGCCTCTGTCTCTAGAAATGCCCAATATTTGTTTCATCTTTTGTTGAGTATCCTCCGGAACTGAGTGGCCGAATTGAATGGAAGATTTTTCGAAATTAATTTGTTGTCCTGAGACACTTTCATATTGTTTTAGTATACACAAGATCTTCTGGCATTCATCCTTAGTTGTTTTACAAAAAAACAAACTATCATCCGCAAAAAGTAAGTGTGATACCGCTGGACTTGCTCTAGCAATCTTTAAACCTGTTAATCGCTTTTCTTCCTCCGCTTTTCGTATATTGGCTATTAAGACCTCCGTGCAAAGGATAAATAAATATGGTGAAAGAGGATCCCCTTGTCGAAGTCCCCTTCCCGGGTTTATTTGACCTCTCGGCTGTCCATTTAATAAAATTTTGTACCGAACCGAGGTAATACAATGCATCATCCATGTTATCCACTTCTTAGCGAAACCAAATTTCCTCATAATATTTTCAATAAATGACCATTCCACTCGATCATAGGCTTTACTCATATCCGTCTTAATGGCCATATATTTATTTTTACATGATTTATTGGTCCGCAAACCATGAAACATCTCTTGTGCAATCAGGATATTGTCTGAAATCAGACGACCTGCCACAAAGGCAGGCTGTGTTTCCGAGATTAGATCTGGTAATAATCGTTTTAATCTTTGACATAACACTTTAGATATGATCTTATACCCGACATTACAAAGACTAATAGGTCTTAATTCCGTCATTCTCGTGGGTCTTTCTGTTTTTGGTATTAAACAGATATGTTGGGGTCGGTCTCACCCCAGTCTGCTTAAACCATCTCAAGAACATCGGAGAGCCAATCCGGCAGGAAGAACCAGCGATCCATCAAATATGGGCCGAGCCGCGCATGAGAGGAGTAGGCCAAACTCAAGCGGGCCGAGCCGTGAGGAGGAAATGGGCGAGCCGCGTATGAGAGAAGATGGGCCGAGCCGTACACCAGTGAAGATGGGCCGAGCCGTGCAAGAAGGAGAGTGGGCCGAGCCGTTACCTTTCAAGATGGGCCGAACCAAAGTCTTGAAGGAAGAAAGCCCATAAAAACCCTAGGCGATGCCTCGAGGCGGTGGCCGCATGAAGCGATAAGGAAATGTTTCTAAAATCTCTTCCGAGATTCTTGGCTAGGCGGTTTAGAGAGTTAGTATAAATAAGCAACTTATACGATTCATAATGTAAGTTTTCACAACTCGAGAGCAATAAGACTTAAACACTTTCACAGCAAACAAAACCTTCTTTTGATCTTACTGTTCTTGCGACTACCCTAGAAATTTCAGATCCCTTAGTTTTTACTTACAAATTTTTGGTTGTGCGAGTTTTGGTTCACACAATTTGGCGCCGTCTGTGGGGACTCGAAACTTTCTTACTCTAAAATCGACAAGACTTTAAGATCCGAAGAACATGGCGAGCAACACCCTCGACGATAACAACAACAACAACAACAACAACGATAGCGGCGCGGAGAAGGACGCTCCAGCATCAGGCGCAACGACAGCGACGACCAAAACCCAAGAGGAGATGCGAAACATGATGGCTGCGTTGATGAAGAAGATCGACGAGCAGGACAAAAGAAACGAGGCGATTACAGAGAGGCTCGACGCAATGACGGCCGAGCGACGACACCCAACTTGGAGAGCCGGAATCTCCGACCCGATGGATGGAATCCGGAGACGCTTCGATTTCTCAACATCTGCAGAGGCCTCGGGGAGCGGCGCAAGAAACCCCTTGGCTCCACCAATGTTTCGTCCCCTCGGCGAACAGACTCCCGTGCCAACCCGAGTCAACATGACCGATCCGCCTCCACTCCGTCGGAACTCAAGGCGACGAGCCGGCGAAGAGGAGAATGACGCGATCGACGTGGACGCCCAACAGAACGATGGAACCACGAACTCGCAACAAAACGACTCGGCTCGGTGAATAAGCCAAGAAGAGATCGCCTCGGCACTAAACGGCGTCCGGACTGACGAAATCACCGATCCGGCTCGCGGCGACAACCCGACTGAAGAAGAAGAAAACCTCCATTGGATCGAGCAGGCCGAACGCGAAGACGAGCCGAGGAGAGAAGAGCGGGAGCGACTCCCCCAATCAAAGGGAATGACTCACACGCAAACCCTCGAAATCAAAGAGCTGCGAGCCTCAATGGCTCGGACAGTAGCCGAGATACGCGCCATGTAGTCTCAAGTGCATAACGCAACGAGTGCTGCACCCAAGATCGATCGGATGCTTGAAGAAACCCATAGAACACCATTCACGGCGAGAATCACGGAGGCTAGGATTCCCGAGCCCGGGAAGGTGAGAATCCCGTTCTACGAAGGAACGACCAATTCCCGAGCACACATCACAACGTTTCGGATAGCAATGGGACGAGCTTTCACAAAGAACGCTGCCAAACTGACCGAGCGAGAAGTGGATGCCGGATATTGCTTGCTCTTCGTGGAACATCTCAAGGGAACCGCGCTCGAGTGGTTTTCGAGGCAGGAGCGCAATTTGATCGGCAGTTTCCAACAGCTCTCCGCCTTGTTCCTTAAACAATACTCGATGTTTATGGATAGAGGAACGTCTAATGCCGACCTGTGGACGCTATCCCAAGGATCGAACGAACCGCTTCGGGATTACATGGCAAGGTTCAAGGTGGTCGTATCCAAAATAGAAGGAATAAGCAACAAGGCTGCACTCGAAGCTCTGAAACGGTCTTTGTGGTACAAATCCGAATTCCGACGAGAAATGGCACTCAACACGCCACAAACGATTCAAGATGCCTTGCATCGATCATCAGACTTTGTCGTAAACGAGGAAGAGATGAAGAATCTGGACGAGCAGTACGAAGCAACGAAAGCAGCGATCTGCAGCTCAATTTTGACGCGCCCCTCGAAGAAAGGCATCCATCAAACAACGCAACGACGCAGAGCTCGGACGAACCTAGAAGCGGAGGTGCCCATAACTACCAAGTAGGCACTGGACGCAAAAGAGGACAGCCGCGCAACAACACTTGGGTAAGAAAGCCCACCAACTACAACGAAAAGGCATTCTGCGAGTATCACCAGACCTACGGGCATTCAACGGCACAATGCCGAACTCTAGGAGCAAAACTCGCAGCTAAGATGGCGGCGGGAGAGCTCCAGAACGCAGTTAACCTCAAAGACCTCGTCCCTAATGAACCAAAAGAAGAGCCGAGCCGAGCGGCACGGCAGAACCCGCAAATCCTCCCCGACGGGGCGATAACACCAAGCGCGACAGGAGAGGCAAACCCGAAGAGCGACCCGAGCCGAGGCAAAGGATCAACATGATCATGGGTGGATCTCAATATTACCAAGACACGGTGTCCTCCATCAAAGCTTATCAGCGTCGAGCCGAAGCGAAGGAAAATTGGACAGAACCGACCGATATCCCGAATACAGTGATCTCTTTCGCCGAGGAAGAAACGGCATGAATCGTTAGACCACACAACGATTCACTGGTGATCGAATTGACGATCAGAGATCACGATGTAGCGAGGGTGCTCATCGATACTGGGAGCTCAGTAGACGTCATTTTCAGGGAGACGCTCAGAAGGATGGGAATCGATCTCTCCGAGGTGAAGGCGATCCCCAAACCTCTAACCGGATTTTCAGGAGAAACAACAATGACTATGGGAACAATTAGGCTCCCTGTGGAATCTGGCGGAGTCACTAGGATCGTCGAATTCTGCGTCACCGATCACCCAGCAATCTACAATGTGATTATGGGAACTCCATGGATCAACGCGATGAGGGCGGTCCCTTCCACCTATCACCTCTGCCTCAAATTCCCGACTCCTGCAGGCATCAAAACGATCTGGGGAAATCAGAAGGAGTCACGAATGTGCTGCTTAGCGGAGCACAAGCTGAGGAACCCCGTCACCGACACACGAGCAGACATAGATCGCAAAAAGATGAAGACGGACCGTGAGCTCGGGAACGAGCTCTCGAAATTCTTATAGCAATTACAGATCGCGGAGAGCCGCGAAACGCGCGCCGAGCCGGTATGTGATGCGGTGGACTCGGTGTGCATAGACGAAGCGCGTCCAGAACGATGCATTGAAATCGGAGCAAAACTAGAAGAACCTCTGAGAAGCAAACTTCTTTCCCTCCTCAAAGAGAACATCAACACTTTTGCCTGGACAGCGGAAGATATGCCGGGCATAAGCATCGGCGTAACCTGTCACGAGCTGAACGTGGACCCAACCTTCAAACCAATCAAACAAAAAAGAAGGAAGCTCGAACCCGAACGAGCTAAAGCAGTTAACGACGAAGTAGAGAGATTGCTCAAAGTAGGATCAATCGCCGAGGCCAAATATCCAGACTGGCTTGCGAATCCAGTGGTTGTGAAGAAGAAGAACGGCAAGTGGCGGGTCTGTGTAGACTTCACTGACCTCAACAAGGCGTGCCCAAAAGACAGTTTCCCTCTGCCGCACATCGACCGGCTCGTCGAAGCCACTGCGGGAAATAGGCTGTTAACATTTATAGACGCATTCTCCGGCTACAACCAAATCCTGATGCATCCTAACGATCGGGAAAATACGGCATTCATAACTGATCGCGGGATATACTGCTACAAAGTTATGTCGTTCGGGCTCAAGAACGCAGGAGCGACATATCAACGGCTCGTCAATAAAATGTTCGCGGATCAGCTCGGAAAAACCATGGAGGTATACATCGACGATATGTTAGTCAAATCACTCGAAGAGAAAGACCATATCGCGCATCTACGAGGATGCTTCGAGCAGTTGAACAAACAGAACATGAAACTAAACCCGGCGAAGTGCAGATTTGCGGTCACCTCGGGAGAGTTTCTCGGCTATCTGGTAACTCACCGAGGCATTGAAGCGAATCTCAAACAGATCAAGGCATTAATCGAGATTCCCTCTCCAAGGACGAAGCAAGAAGTGCAAAGGCTCACGGGAAGGGTCGCTGCGCTAAACAGGTTCAGTTCCCGTTCCACCGACAAGTGCCTGCCTTTCTACGACACCCTTCGGGGAAATAAGAAATTCGAGTGAGACGAGCGATGCAAAGCAGCTTTCCATGAATTGAAGAGTTATCTGGCAAGCCCGCCGATCTTGGCGAAACCAGTTGAAGGAGAGCCTCTCTTCCTCTAGATCGCCGTATCTGCTACAGCTGTGAGTGGGGTGCTTATAAGAGAAGAATGATCCGAGCAAAAACCCATTTTCTACGTCATCCAGACACTGACCGACGCCGAGACCCGTTACACCCAGATCGAGAAAGTCGCCCTAGCCGTCGTAGTCTCGCTCGCAAGCTGCGTCCGTATTTTCAATCACATTCGATTGTTGTGCTCGCTACACTTTTGCTGTGCTTGATCCTACACAGCCCGAGCCAATCCGGCCGGCTCGCCAAGTGGGCCATAGAGTTGAGCGAGTACGACATCGAGTATCGGAACAGGTCGTCTGCAAAGTCACAGGTGCTCGCAGATTTTCTCATCGAACTTTCGGCCGAAGCGACGAACGAGCCAACCCCAGACGAAGAATGGATGCTGCACGTTGACGGCTCGTCGTCTAAACACGGCTCGGGAAGAGGAATCCGTCTCACCTCTTTCACCGGAGAAATATTGGAGCAGTCTTTTCGCCTGAACTTCCATTCCTCGAACAACGAAGCAGAATACGAAGCGCTGATCGCCGGCATACGACTAGCACAGGGAATCAGAGTTCGAAAGATAAGAACCTTTTGCGATTCACAGCTCGTAGCATGTCAATTCAACGGAGAATACGAAGCGAAGGACGAACGAATGGGAGTTACCTCAAGGTGGTCAGAGAGTTGGTGCAAAAGTTCGACGTGTTCGAGCTCACACGAATACCCCGAAGCGAAAACACCTCGGCTGACACCTTGGCAGCAGTTGCTTCGACTTCAGACCCGGATCTCCGACAGAAAATTCCAGTCGAATTCATCGAACGTCCTAGCATCGAAGAGGTCGAAGGAGTTCGGCTGTTAAATCCTCCCGAGCAAGAACCAGAGAACGACGAAGCAATCGCTATGGATGAAGTCGCCTCACCACCTGAACTGGAGTACGGCTGCGACAAAGAATGGCTCGGAGCCATCCGAGTGTATATCGCCAATAGAGAAGTACCAACCAACAAGTGGGAAGCCCACAAATTAAAGGCTCAGGCCGCGCGATATGTCCTCGTCGACGGCGAGATGTTTAAATGGAGATTTTCAGGACCGCTCATAACATGCGTTGAAGGACCGGAGGCAAGAAAGATCATGCACGAAGTGCACAGCGGCGCGTGTGAAAACCATTCTAGCGGAAGGTCGCTTGCGATCAAGATAAAACGGCACGGTTACTTCTGGCCTACGATGGTCAAGGACTGCAAGAAGTTTACGGCGAAGTGCGAGAAGTGTCAACGGCCCGCGCCAACAATTCATCAACCTACCTAGCTGCTGTCATCAATCTCATCACCTTATCCTTTCATGAGATGGTCGATGGATATAGTCGTACCTCTACATCGATCGAAGCAGAAGCGCTTTCTGCTCGTCCTCACAGATTATTTTTCTAAGTGGGTCGAGGCTGATTCTTACGCGAGCATAAAGGATGCTCAGGTCGAACACTTCGTCTGGAAAAATATCATCTGCAGACACGGGGTCCCCTACGAGATAGTCACCGATAACGGATCCCAGTTCATCTCAACGCGTTTTGAAGCTTTCTACGAGAAATGGAAAATCCGTTTGAGCAAATCTACGCCAAGATATCCTCAAGGGAACGGACAAGCCGAAGCAGCCAACAAGATGATCCTAGACGGTCTGAAAAAGAGGCTCGACGCCAAGAAAGGACGATGGGCAGATGAGCTCGAAGGAGTCCTTTGGTCGCATCGGACAACTCCGCGCCGAGCCACCGGAGCAACTCCATTCGCTCTAGTCTATGGAGCGGAATGCGTAATCCCCCCCCCCCCCCCCGAGGTGGTTTTCCCAGGTATTCGACGAAGACTTCTGCCGGGAAAAAAAGGCTTGAATCACTTAATGATGCTGGACGAACTCGATTTGGTCAACGAAAGGCGCGACCAGGCTCTAATCCGAATTCAGAACTACCAACAAGCAACGGCGAGATACTACAACAAAAATGTCTGTAGTCAAAAATTTAAAGAAGGAGAGCTCGTCCTTCGAAAAGTTTCCAAAACACTGCCGAGAAGAATGCAGGAAAGCTCAGAGCGAATTGGGAAGGTCCTTACAGGATTACAAAAGTAGTTCACCCAGGAGTCTACGAACTTGCGACGGTAGCTGACGAAGCAATTCCAGGATCGTGGAATGCAATGCACCTGAAGAAGTATTATCACTAAGGCTACAACACGCTCAACATGAACTACGGGACGACTTGATCCTTGCAAAGGGTACGTAGGCAGCCCGTCCTCGGACGGGTTCAGCTGTCCCCCCTCCTAAAAAGGGGGGGGGGAGTGGGTATGTATACACATACCTTCATTTGACTCTACAATTTTAGCTCGTCTACCGTCTCTAGGAACATTGCCAATTTTATGTTCGTTTTAAACCAGCTACTTATTTCATGTTCACCTCGGAATTCTAGTTCGTGCATTGTCGCTTCGGCTAGTTTCTCATTCGTTTTAAATCAGCTACTTATTTCATGTTCGCCTCGGTTTTTAAATTCGTTCATTCGTCACTTCGGCAAGATATTATCACTTCGACAAGTTATCGTGACTTGATCGCCTCGGACTTTTACTTGTCCTTGTATTCACTTCGGCAAACTAAGTCTCCAAACACCTCGCCTCGTTGCTGGCCACAGTGAGGCAACAGTCACAAAGTTCTCTAAATGGACTTTTAACCACCTTTCCTTAGGACGAGGATGCAAGTTACATCTGATGTCGTGTCAACTGCGTGAGGGAACAAGTTTTACCCTTAACAAAAACAAATGAAAGCTGCAAGTGCACAGCTAATCAGTTGTAGTATTTAGGGATCGAATCCACAGAGATTTGTGTGCCTGGTATTCTTCTACAGTTTTTAACTTTATGTCTAGACTAGATTGGTTTTTAAAGGTTGGTTGTTTGTCACGATTTAAACTAAAACAAAAGAAAGTAAATAAATCTATCCTAGAAATCAAGTAGAAAAATCGAATGGAAAGCAAGTAAAGCAAGTAAATATCGAACTAAGGCAATTGAAATGCAGATCTAAATAAGCAAATAAAAATCGATTGGTTTGTAAACTATGGCTAAAAACGCTGAGCTTTTGGGAACTCTACAGGGATCATAATCGGTTTTGACACTAGGGTAGATAGATTGGGATTGACGGATATCGATATATAGGTGGTTCTAGAG